GTCCCTACCAGCTAGCCTTGGCTTCTGTGGGGATTGGCATAGACCTTATTTTGTGTGGGTTTTGTTGTTTGTTTTACTTTGCACGACCACATTGGAGCTGAACAGAATCCAGAGGAAAGCTAACCCAGTAACAGAAGATCCTAGAAAAGCCTGTCCCTACAATTTTTTACTGACTCCGGCAGCTTCCAAATGGTCTCATGCCCAAGCTGCCCAGCAAGCAGGCACTAAAAGGTTTTGCAAAAGCACAGTAGTAAGTTTTCCTTTTCAAAGCACCTCTGAGCTTCAATGAAATCATGCTGGGTGGACCTCAGACCACATTTTCTTCAGGCGGTTTGGTGATGTTGGGGTGGTGTGGGTGACTCAGTTCATGCAATTCTGTGCAGGGATGAGGAGCAGGGATACATTGTGAAGTGAATCTTGTGTATGGGAAAATACATCTGAAGAGCAAGGGACTGCTGCTCTCTGAAAGTCAACAGCAACACTTTCCTATCAGCACCACCAGATGGGTTTTAGCAGAACACGGACTAAAGCTTGAGATTCATTCTGTCCCATTGAATCTAGTCAGCTCTAAATGAAAATACAGGCAAATGGCTAATGAGTTTTTGGCAGGTGCAGAGATGGACAGGATGAAGTGGACAATCAGCTCCTATCCAACACTCTGCAAAATACACATTTACTCTTGAAATCTGTGGCTCGCTTGCACTTTCCACTTGGCAATTACAGAACACCGGTTCCTCTTCTGCAGTCCAGATCAGATGCAGTTTGGGTAAGAAACACATTGTGTAGGTGGCACAGCATCACGAGGGCGTGGTCTCTTCATCTTGTAACTCCTGTATGCCCATTGCTGACTTGGTCTGGTCTGAATCACTCAAGTCTCCAAATCAACTGCCTGCAGATGTGTGACACTGCCACACCGAGCATGCCAGACATCTGACATGGATGAGGAGATGGATGCACTGACATCAGCTCAATGTAAGTGACACTGCTTGCAAAGTAAGCTCAGCAAAAAGAAGCAACCAAGAAATATTTTGTCCGTCGAACTGGGCAGACAACAGAAGTACGCCAGGCCGGAGCTGATGTACTCCACAAAATCCCAAGTCCTGCTGTGCAGCATACAGATACAACTTTATTAGCAGAATAAGCACTGCCAGGATCCATTCTGGTCTCAAAGCCAACAGTGCTGGCCACATCCATACTACTAAACTCTTTCATCTCAATACAGCATAGCCACATCCACACTGCCAACTGGGGATGGTCTTTGGCCAGTATCAATGCCTGTGCAAGCTGTGCCCAAGTCTAGGCTTGCTGGAGTGAATGAAAACCATGCCAAAGAGGGGCTGAACAATTCAACAGTGGGGATGGTGAAGCCCTGGCTTTGTCCTGGCATGGTGTGGAAGGCTCATTTCTATGGTCCCAGGGTGAATTCAGCAGCATAGACGTGGCAGAGAAGTTGTCCGTGCATCTTGTGGTGTGAATAATTACAGGCTCAGACTTCTCCAGTTCAAAAAACTCCTCAAGCAGTATCTTCTGCCAAGAAGCTGGGACATGGCATAACTGACCTACCGGGGAGTTAAAAAACAAATGAAACCAAAGCATCCTGTCAGGGTGCACTCCAAAAACCAAAGGGATCTGGGGGGGGGGGAAAAAAATAAAAGAAAAAAGGTGAGGACAAGATTCTCAGTTTTGGGATTACGATGAACAAAAAGATGGGGGCAGTTTTGCTCTCCATGCTTGGCAAAAGGTGCTGTTTGGCAACATGATTACAGACAGTCCCTAGAGGAGATGGTCACCACCCCAAACTGTCCGTTGGGTGCGGTGGGAGAGCACTTTACGGCTGCAATGAAGTCTTTCAAAGAGAAATAGTTCTTCAGGTTGGGGATGGGCTCTCACTGGAAATCTTTTGCTAAATCAAAATGCCAGTGGATATCACTCAAAGCAAGGACTCAAAGCAGAGCCAGAAAGTTTATGTGTCTAAGGATAATGTAACAGTCTTAACACGCTGTGGAAGCACCTGCTTTTGTTGTTATCCATACGACGAGACCCGAAGAAGGAGGACTTTGGAGCAGGAATGAGTCAAGCCCTTAAGTCAAGCTGGTTTGGTTGTGAGAAATTAGCACTGTATTGAGAAGTAAGGTCACTTCTGGAGTGGTTTGCCCCTCTGCTCTTGCAGTGAGACAGAGAGGACGGCTGTCGGTGTGGTGGTCTGGAGTGAGGGTCTCGTTCCTGAGGGAAGGCAGGCTGCAGGTGCTCCCGAGGTCAGGCAGCACCAAAGGGTCTCCTCTTTGACTCCCAGTGAGCGTACCGTGGCACACCGGCTCATCTCACTGTCTTGGTGCGAGGTGGCAGGGTCCAGCTGTTCCGTCAGATGTGTTCACCTCTCCAAATCAGACCTGAAGTTTGACATGCTTGGAGGGCAACCTTCTCTTGGTGCTTTTGGAAACGAGGGTGCTGTCTCCTGGAGGACGTGTCCATGAGGAAGAGTGGAGGTGTTTGCCCATCCATTCCTTTCTCATGCTTGTGCCGATGAAAAATTGGATGTGTAGATGAGAGCTCTTTGTGGAAGGACTAAAGAGAGTCTTTAAGCAGGGTGTGAGGCTTGGAGAAGCAGATTAGAGAGTATCTACACTGGTATTAAGGGCGAGTCCTTGCAGGAAAAGAAGCGAAGTCTCGGGAGGGGAAACTCAAGGTCATTGTCAGGGGTTTAGCACTTGTGTCTTTTAATGACAGCAGTGCAAAATTGCTCAGAGGACGGCAGGTTCACTTCACAAATTACCTCTTTTGATGGAGACAACAAACAGATTAGAGAAGGAACAGGGTGATGCGTTAGTAGGGTGCTCGAGAGGGGACTGACTATAGGATATGGGCAATGGAGAAAGCAAATGGAAGCTTTCCACAAATGTATGTAAGGGTAGATAGACATGTGCATGAGCACGATAAACAAGGGATCAGGAATTTGGGCAGTGGATGACAAGACAAAACACCTCCGTCTGCATGAAAATGTGGCCATCGCGTCAGTTCTAATCAGAGCCCAGAAACGTTTGCCTGAAATGGGAGTTTGACTGGGAGTTACAGTACCAGTGACAATTTGGCTTTGTACAAACTTTGCCGTGTGTCTCTAGTTTGGCGCAAATGAGTCCTGCCCTCCTTAAGAGGGGCGGACATGAGTTAAAACTTTCTTTACAAAAGAAAATGGCACAACTGAAAAAAAATAAAAAGAAAAACGTGTCTTTTTTTTTTTTCTTTTTTTTTCTTCTCAGAATACTGCAAAGGATCACTGATTGAAAAAAATGTTTCTCGTCAGGTATATTCAGGCGAAGAAAGCATTCAGCTTCTTTAAACTGTTATATAAAATTTGTACTAGTTTCTTCAAATGCTATCATAATTTAAAAAAAAACAAAACAAAACACAACTGATTCTTCAAATAAAAGAAAATAATAATAATCATAATTGTAATTAAAAAATATCCCCCCGTGCTGATTTTCTCTACCGAAGAGGCCAGCATGGGAGTTTTGCACCCTAGACAGTTACAGTATTTCTGGAATAAAAAACTGCAAACTCACACAGAGAAAACACTACAGTATTCACGTAAAAATACCGTTTTTGTCGTTGTTGCTTCTCCCCTCCCAAGCAGAGGGGCGGTGGGATTGAAAAGATGCCCTGAAACGGGAATACTCCTTTCAAAGAGTAACATCCCCCAAAAGGAAAAGGGCGGTGGGTGGACGCGACCCTGTGATTGAACTCGAAACAGAGATTCCAGCACGGAAACAGAAGGCGAGAGATGCGAATGGTCTGACAGCGGGCGGGTTAGCGGGAAATGTCAGGACAACCACGCGACCCTTGGCCGTGATCGGAGGCGGCAGAATCTCCTTGCGGTGGGAAGGCTAAGCTACACCACGATGCTCCCTCTACGCTTCCTGCGGTGTTGTTTCTTGCCACGTACTTACAGTCGAGGGTGACACGAGACAGTTTTATCAGCAGTTCCCCACGTGTACCGAGTCGAAGAAATCTCAGCTAAATCACAACAACATCAACAAAAATACAAAGCACCAAAATCATCTCAAGAGACGTTGAGTCAGTTTACAGGTTATTACCGTTTGAAGAAGTTTGTTGTCTTTTTTGTTTTGTTTTCCTGTCGTTGTTTGTTTGTGTTGTTGTTGTTTGTTCGTTCCTTTGCTTATCCCGATTTTCAGATTTTTGTTTTCCTTAAAAATAAAACAAAAACACACACACAAAAAAAACCACAAAAAACAGAAGGAAAAAAAAAAATCAAAACCCCCAAAAGCCCCAAATGAAACAAAGGATGCTTTACAATCACTTTAAGGCTCGCACTGAATGAGACGTGACAGGTCTTAACACGAGATTACAAATAATACACGTATGCCTTTCACAGCCTTAAAATGATACAGTAGGTCAAATTATTTTGCCAGTCACTGATCAAGTATTGTGCCTTTAAATTGACTCGCTTTTTGCTACTATGCTGAGTTTTATTATTACTGAAATTATTAGAGATGCGTAGGTATACTTTAGTAGAGCGTTTTTTGGTATAAAATTTCACAATTGGAGATCTCTTGTGTTATTTTCCAGAGATCAACATGGCCGGCCTCATTCTGGGCTCAGGTGGTGGTTATTGATTCCACTGAAGCCAGTGGGCATCAGCAAGTGCAGCTGCTCAAGACAAGATCAGCTGTGCGTTGCCACGTTCCCCCTCTGCAAACTGACCACGGCGCATTGGGCCACCTGCAGGAGGAACGTGGCTCCCCAGCAGGGCCACATTTACAACACGGCTGGGGCAAGGTGAGTGGGCTTGGCCAAACAGCGTCACAAATGTGCCGCCAACCGGAGCTGCAGACCTGATGTTGTCTTTCAGCCTTTAGGAAAGAAACAGTCTCCATCGGGGTGTCTTGGCCTTGCTTTCTTTGTTTTGTTTTGTTTTGTTTTCTTAAGTTAAATCCAATGAGAGCAATGAGATATTTTCGGACATTTCTCTCAGTCTCTTTGTTAATTTTTTTCTTTTTTTTTTTCCTCTTTTTTTTTTTTCCTTATTAATTTTAAGGTTCGTATTTCAATCATGCATTCTTTTATCATTATTATTATTATCATTATTTTCCTGGCATATAATCATCAAAGAGTTTTGCATGAGAAAGGTGACAGTACTTAATGAAACTCAGCACCTAAGGGCATAAGGCAGTTGTAGGTTTGTTTGTTTGTTTTTTTATTTTTCAATCAGCACCAATCCCATAAGTAATGTTCTACACTTGGTGTACGGTATAAAACTGATGTGGAGATGCCTCCTTCTCCACCTGTGAATCCTAGGTGTGGAAGTTGAAATACTGTTTCTTGTGTGTAAAAAACAAAAGAAAAGTTTTTCTTTTTGTTTTTACTTACAAAACATAGAGAATATCTTTTTCTTTTTTTTTTTTTTATACATACAGCAACCAGAAAGAAAGCTTATCTGAAGGTTTGTGTTTGTTTCATGATCTGTGTTTACCGTAAACAAAAATAAGGTCCCCTCTTTTACTTTTGCTTTAAGGAGCTTTAAAGTGAAGATTCATATTGTAGCAACTCATATAAGAGAGGTCCATCTCTATACCTAATACCTACAGCTGTGGGGGTGACATACTGGAGGATGTTGATAGTTCTTCTTAACCTCCTGTCTACAAAATGAGCATCCCATGCAGGATATCTCTTTCTTGGGATGTCAATCTTAATGAGAGGCCCCTCGGGGGGGTAGGGTCGCCCAGATGGAGTAGATGGTACCATTGCTCTCACCTGGAAAACGGGCAAGCAAGTGTCAGCTGTGAGTTCCTCCTGTTGCTCCGTGACCGCTCTGGTGGGCGTAGCCTGGGCCCCCCGGTACCCAGGGGTTTGGGGTGCCATGGGCTCAACATCGGGGGGCAAAGGAATGCCCCAGAGCAGCTCGGCGCAACAGGAGCTGGCAAAGATCTTAGCTCTTGGCCCCATGGGATGCAGCACACCATAATATAACAGCATCAAAGCTATCCCAGCAGCAAAGCTAAGAAAGACACAACACAGTGCTGGCACGGCATATGAGTCAGTGGTGTCAGGATCTCTGTAAAAATACCAAAGGAGCGTCAAGGCAGCGTTCTCCGTCAGGACTACCGTGTAATACGCAAACATTCTGTATCGAGTCCGCCCTTCCTTGACATTAAACCAGCAGAAAATGTACACAATCCCTACCACCATGTTGAAGAGGATCTCCTCCCACTTAGACATGCAGAAATCTGTCCCACCATGGATGATCCAGAAAGCCATGGCACACCAATGGACCACTACAAAGATCCCAAAGTAGAGCTGGAAGATGGAAGCAAAGAGAGCAAAAGAAATAACTCGGGATGAGATGGTGAAGAGGCGCCAGAAGAGATGGATGAGGGCCCCTCTGTAGCTCATACTCTTCTTGTCGTCCCTAGAGTCCCGAAGAAGCTTGTGATAGGAGGCTAGCACCCAAGCCAGGGACATCAGGGAGGCCACAGAGGACACACCTGCCGGAAGACACACAGATCCACTGAGTTAGACAGGAGGATTGGTTGAAAACATCATCTGCTCACTAAATTATTGCATCTGGGGCAGGCTCAGTAGCCCAAAGGTTCAACTCACGCCAGGTTGTCCTTACAGTCTGGAGGAGAGAAATACAGAAATATCAGTGTGGGAATTGCAATCGATGCTACATTCATGTGTTTTCTGATGTCTGTATTCACAAGCAGTGGGCTCTGCCACCCCACCCCAGCTAAGCCCTTCCTACCAAAAACAGCCTCTGTCCTCATCGTGATTACATCCACATCTGAGAATCTGAAACTCAGATCCCATCCCTTGGGTTGCAGCCCAAGGATGAAGTTTACTTTCTGCAAAAAGAGATCCATCTTGGAGCACATCCTTGGAAGAGCAGAACAACTATGATTCTTTCACATCCTTTTTAATCTAAAATACTTTCCTACAAGCTGCATTCATGTTAACTTGTAAGTGATCCTGCCTTCATCGGGAACCTCTGTTTGCATCCACCAATGGGAGAAATAGGCAGGTGATCAGTTTTATCACTGGTGGTCACATGCAGATGATTATACAGATGCCATCAGTACCCATCAGATGGTCCCAAAACACAGAACCTGACTGCTCCAGCAATCCTGGAGTCCTGGAAATCCTATTTCCAGGACAGACTGAAGACCTGCACTGAAGGTAGCACGCCTCCATCACCGACTCCAGAACAGACACGGGACCAACCTTACAGTCATGCCTCCAGCCCTGTTTCCTTTTTTGTCTTGGTGAGGCCCACTTGAAGAACCTTGGATCTCTTTCATCTCCTTGCTCTATCTGGGACATCTAGTGAACCATTCAGCTCTGCCTAGTGCTCTTGGACCCTACTGGACCACTCCCACCAGTGAGGTCATTGCCTGCACTGGGGTCAACCTCAGCTACCAGCTTGAGCCCCTTGCACTCTGGCATGGGGCAGGCATCCCACAGTATTCCAAAGAGTCTCGGTCTTCTTCCTCATTACAGCCAACACTTAAACTTGTTCATTTGCTTCAATGGATAAGATAGCACTCCATCACACTCCAGGACTGTGATAATCTTTTGAGAATACAATACCATTGATCATCACAACAGTAAATTGAACAAATCATTGAGCAAGTCATCGTCATAAAAATTAAGAGACAGATTCCTGAAAACAAATAAAGGCCACTGGCATATCACTCCTTTGCCTCTGTTGCAGATCTCTGGACTTCAGCAGCCCTGCAGGTGAGGCAACTGGTGATGGACTAAGATACACAATCAAGAAGCCAAATAACTGGGTAGCAATTGTTTGACCGAGGCTCTGCCAAAAATTCCTCTGGAAGCATCATCTATACCTTCAAATCCTCCTTACGTCTCCCTTCTCTCTCTGCCTGCAAGTCTCTCATAGGGACAGTAGAAAAACCTGTGGTTTTTCAGACATCATTCCAGAGTGACCTCAACAAGGTTTGTATACAGGACTTGGGAAAGTATGGAAACTTCTGAAAGTGAACAGCCTAAGCCCCAAATAGTTGTACATCAGATTTATTTTCAGCCTGCACGATTTTTCTAAGGTGCATTATATTTTTGATGGACATGATAAACAGTTTTGGAAGCCTGGGAAATGTCACAGAATTTTTAGGTGATTGCCACGCTGTGTGTAAGTATCACTTGCTGCAATCTCTTCTAGCCATTCAGTTTAAAAACTTTCCATGATTAATAGAAATAAAAGTCAGGCGTTGGCTTATGTGAGTGCTGCAATACTAGAAACATGTACAGCATTAGGTGTACCTGAACAATGAAACTCAAGCAGTGCCAGCCCACAAGAGGCAGATGTGTCACGCTGGCTTAAAAATGTTTCAGTTGAGATCATTTATTCTAGTAGGGAGAGAGGAATAAAATGCATCAGAAACAAAAACCCAGCATACACATAAAAGCTTTTCCCATTGTAACGTTTTCTGTGCATAAACCTACACTAATCACAGCCTTTCCTGTAAATTGCATAGAGCTGGCTGTGAGTATGGGTGTTGAGTCACTCGCATTGCATGGTACCAGGCCTGCTGACAGTCATCTGAACGTCTCCTTAAGAGGCAGACACCCCCAGAAAGTGATTCACCCTGTCCTAAGATCCACGTGTGGGACAGGGGGGTTGACTCATGCTCCCAAAGTGTCTGTCTCCATCCTTGACAGGGGAGTGTGTGGACTTGTAAACACTGGCGGACAGGCAAGATGAGTCCTACCCTTACCAAAATACGTGCTGCATTCTCATTTGTGCTCTGATCCGAGGAGGGGAGTGAAGTTTCTCTAAACAGTTTGACAGACTCTTGCCACTGTTTAAAAAATTCACAGCTCTGTGCTGAATGCAGCTTTGAGCTGGGTGTCATTGGGATGCAATCAGTAGGCAGACATCAAACAGAACCATGGAGCAATATGAAGGTTTCTCCAGCACTGGGGTGCCACAGAAATCATTCCCTGGCTATTTTATCCAAGCCTAAATGACAAAGCATGCTTTGATTTTTGCCATCTTGGCCATGAGTTTCTCATTCCCATATTTCCCTGTTAATTCCAGCCTGTGACCTCTTCATACAATAGGATATTCTGGGATGCAAACTCTGGGATGACCTTTTCTTTTCTATTTCACTTCTCCCAGGCCTTATTTCTGAACAGACTTCTGGAGAAGTCTCCACTTAACAAAAAGTTCTGGCAAGCTGGATCACATGGGAAGTATTTTCTTATTTTTACTTTAATTAATTAATTTGCACATGGTGACTGACGCACCTTCATGAGGTGCATGAGTGGGTTTCAACTCCCTTCCAAGGTTTGTCCATCAAATCCAGGCTGGGGTTGGTTTGAAACTGAAGTCACTTCAAAAAACCCACTCCCACTCCTCCCTCTCTATGCTTAGTCTTGGGGGTAGAAAATACCTGCCCTGCTTTGCTGAGCCTATGTGGGCCCTCTTAAGTCAGCAGGACATCACCTATCATGGGACTGGAAGCCTCACAGACTTATGAGGTCTGTGCCACCTGCCTATAACAAACCAGGGTGACATAGGCTGGTGTCATCTCAAACCTCTCTGTACCAGGCTATACAACAGCCCTTGAACTCCTGCTATCACCCACTAGGCAGCAGTGGGTGACTCACAGGCTACAGTCAGCTCTACTGAGGAGTCAAGCCCATGTGCCTTGAATGACACATCACAAGAATTATTCCCCCAGATGCCTTTAGTAATGTGCCCCAAAGTCCCTACAGTGAGACATCTACCTTATGATCAGCACAGTGAGGTAAAGCTTATAGTGTCCTCATTTGACAGATGAAATACCAAGATCTTGGTAGAGGTACCACCTTGGTAGAGACCACCTTGAGGCATCTGTGGCTGAGGAATGCCTCTTACTGTACTCAGTGGAGAATGAGGGCTAAGTGCAAACATTTGAGATATGATTCATATACCCTTTGAGATACTCTAGGCTATTCAAGACCTCCCAATGGAGCTAGAAGGTAGGAGAAGCTTGCATACAGAAGATAACATTTTAGAGCTGGAAGCTGGACTGATGCAGGGTACTCAGGGCTTCTCAAATAATCACAGGCTTACCTTAAGTACTGCATCTCACCTTGAGCACTGTGGACAGTGCCAAAACAGAATAAAGGTGTAAAACTATTAAAGAGCATCCAAAAGAAGGCTCCAAAGATGTGGAAGGGTCTAAAGAGCAAGATGTAGCAAGACAGGAGAAAAAGACCCCTCTAAAAGAAGGGTCCTGGAGCCTGATGGAAGCTCATGGGGGCAGGCTGAATTTTAGGCTGTTTCCTCTGTTTCCTGCTGATGGCCCAGAGAAAGAAAAGGTCACCTCAGAAATGTAATGAAGTTCTCTGAAAAATGCCCATTGACAAGTGAGACTCAAACAAAAGGCTCCTCTTTAAATGGCCATCGCTGTTCTTAAAGCCCTCCAATATTTAGGAACAAAAGCAGGGCGTGGAAAGACATCTCAGGCTATCTGGTTTGTTAGTGCTATACAATTGCACATGGCCTTACAGCTTGTCTAATAACAGCTGCAGACAAATCACACACAAAAAATGATATTTAAAATGAACGTGTTACACTTGCTCGTACTGCTACTATTAGATGTTGCACTGAGGGATATGGTGGAGTGGGAAATCTTGGCGGTAGGTGGATGGTTGGAGTGGATGAACTTGGAGATCTTTTCCAGCCTTGGTGATTCTATGACTCTATGATTCTGTTTTACAGAAGAGAGAGGTTTTTCACAAAAAGCATCTTCTGCTAAGGGTTATCTGCTGTGGGAAATCTGAATGCAGTTTGTACAGCATACTGCCTACTTGCTTACTGTGGCGCCTGTCCCTTTAAAGCTGAAAATGATGCCTAAATGGTTCTCTATTTCCTCTTTGACATTAATTCTCCTGCAGATTCTCTTACAAAACCAGGAAGATACCAACGTTTCTTTCTGGTGGGCTGGACAGCAAGTGCTCAGCATGACACAAACCCTTCCATCAAGCTCTGCATGGAGGCAGCACCTGCTTAACACAGCGTGCTACATCTCGGGTCCTCCCCATCACTCTCTGGCTGCTCATGCTCTGTGCAGTGAACCCTCTTATTGTGTTTTCCCCTTTGGGTGGCACGTTCCTAACTGAAGCTCAGCATGAATCTAGGAACAGCCTTCATTCTGATGCACACAGAGGGTGAGCGCGTTCCTATACAATAGAGATGGAGCCAGATCCTGCTTGTGTAACAACACTGCCTGAGAGTTCTTCTCCCCTTCTTTTTAACCCATTATTGTTATTTATTTGCATCAGGGCAAAAGGGATCAGAATCAGACTCCGGATCTAATTTCCATCTGTTCCTGTAGAGTCTGATGCTTGATCTTTCTTCTTTTAATTTCCTTTTAGAGGAAGGAATAACTTTTATCTTCTTTCTTTCATTCTTCCCCTTTGTTTTTCACTTTCAAAATGGAAGAATATGAATCTTTACCACTAAAGAAATTAATCA